TATGACTCATAATATTTATGATTTTTAAAATGTGACCTATTAATTTTTTGATTTGTGACCTATGAAAATTTTAATTTGTGACTGTAAATAATTTGTGACCTATAAATTTTTTGATTTGTCATCGAAAATAATTAGTTAAGACCTGATATATGAATTCTTCCTTATGTAAATTCCACTTTGGAAGCACTTTGGCTGGCCTAATTGAATTTCATTTGAGTGGGGTAAATCTCGGTAACTGGTATAGACCACACTTCACACAAATAGCACTTTAAAGAAATATTTCACCACTCTTTTATAATTTTCAAAACTTTACTTTATAATTGCACCAATTATTTTCAATTTTTCATTTATCAACAGGAGTGAAATACTCAATCATGTTTAAGATTCGCACCCTTGATCGAGTATTCAATTTTTATTTTGCTTTTTTATTATTTTTTTGATTCGAGTGTTGATTTTTGCCTCCTAATCGAGAAATAATTTCCGTGTTTCCATGGAATGTGTCTCTACCTCGGGCTTTTTAGCAAGTTCCGAGCACAAGTTTTTTTTTTAAATTATGAGAAAAAGGGCCCAACAATCTAATATTATAGTCATTTTTTCTTTTAGTTTGTTCTTTAGTTTTTCTCATTAAATCATACTTAAACACGAACCTAGATCACTCTACGATGTGTGCTAGATCCTACAAAAATATTTAATCATTTGATATCATTTCATAAATGTGACAATCGCCTTTTTGTAACACATAAACATGTGTCTCTTTTTTCAATAACTATTTTTTTGTCTTTCTTTGATCGAATTATCCGAGTTAATATTCCATGTGAGATATGTCACACCCACTGTAGGGTGCTCACAATTTAATTATTTGTCCTGTATTAAAAAAATAAATAATACAATGCTCCAATAGTTGTTTGGATTTTTTCTAAGATTATTTACATATTTAAAATTAATAATTATTGACAACTGTACACATAATATAAAATTGTTGGTTTTGCATTATGATAATACAATTAAGGCAAATAATTATGACACTATTGGCTTTCATGAAGAAAATAGTTTGTTTATTCATATTAAAGATTGCACATAATGAACTGGCCTGTTAAAGGATAAGATTCATTCACAAATCACGAAAATGTTCAAAATGGTATATGATAATTGATAATTGTTAATTCACAAAGTCATTTACTTGTTTTTGGGGATGTAAGTGGTTCGATTTTATTGATTTTTGACAAATTTTTAAATCAAATCGTTTAAACTTGTTTGAAAAAAATTCAAATATAAACGAAACCATTTTGAACGGTTTGAAAAAAATTTGAACCTAAATCTAATGGTTTGGTTCGGTTTTAAACCGTCGATTTCGCCGTATATATTTTTGTCTGTCTACTTTTATAACATTAATTCATTGAATTCCAAACTAAATATTTATATTTTACTAGCAGTAAATCTATAATAAACTAAATATATCTACTCCAAATTTAATACCAACTAAATCAAAGTGAAATCAC